AAGATATCAATACGGAAAGGTAAATACGCTGATACGACAATGTTGTAAATAAATTTGCATCGTGCTGTGATAAAATTCCGTCACAAAGAAATGGTGGCTGATTACGAAGACTTTTTCATTACTATTCAGAAGTGGTCTAGTGAATTCAACCGGGGTAGAGGGAGTGTTAAAGACGAGCCCCGTGTCAGTGAGCCGGTTAGTACCCATACTGAAGAAAACTGTCAAAATGCCCGCCGTATTTTGGGAATCTAAGGGAATCTTAATAATTGAGTAGACAAAAAAGTACCAACCCAACGTAATTTAAAGGAACCGAGGAAAGGTCAGCGAGCTGGCGGTTCACCTGATTTTTCTTTATTTCTTTATTCTTTATTGTAAACAGAGTATAAGTGAAAACAAAGTTACAAAAAAAATGTACAAAGGCGAGCTTAACCCTAAAAAGAGTCAAGTGATAACCGCCGCCTATGACTACTTGCAACACCCGTGGGATTACAGATGCGTTGCCACCTTATAATAAAATGGGCGCCGGCTACCTTACTCACCAGACGAAACGCAGAAGTATAACGGTTCACGCTGGTCTTCGTTGAGGTCGTGGTACTTACCCGAATGGACCTGCCTATTCGTACAACAGCTGTACGAAGCTGTTGCGTAGCCCTACCACAAACGTCAAGACAATGCGCCGGTTGCACCCGTCTGCTGTGCGTGTTTTTTTTTATGGAAAAAGGAGGCAAACGTGCAAGCGGGTCACCTGATGGTAAGTGAATACCGCCGCCCATGGACATCTGCTACACCGAACCTTTTGAAAATTGGGCTCCGGCCACCTCACTCACCACACGAAACACGAAAGTATTATACTTCCACTTTCGCCGGTCTTCTTTGAGGTCGTGGTACTTAATCGGATGAGCCTGCCCATTCGTGCAACAGCCGAGGCTGCTGCGCTGCCCTACCACCGTGAAACAGATCAGTTAATATCACCCTTACCAGCCTATTCACTTTTGCCATTTCACTTACATAGAGTCCGTCGGAAAATTGGACGCCATGACCACTTGCTGGTTTCGATTCCTTATCTTATAAGTTTATCTCATTTCTTAATGGAAGTAAGCAGTGACAATCGATTTATTTAGGAGCAGTTAAATAAATTGGAACTGCTCATTACGACCTAGCCGAGACGAGTTGAACGACTTTAGCGGCGTAATGGACGTTATTGCTGCATGCGACAAACTTGGTACTGAGTAAAAAGTTGGGCCGTTGAAAAGTTTTACTTAAAACTTTTCAACTGTCGACTTTAAAGTGAGCCCTATTTATTGCTCGTTGCTTTTAAAACTAAAGGACAATAGAATTCAAAGCATTTATACGCGAGTGGCGCAGAATAAAAAGCACTTATACGCCTTTGACGGTGTTTTACTTCAACGGGTAAAATTATATCACTAAACATTTTGTGAATATCGCTTTATATCTGAGAAGGTGGCAGGTGACAAGTCGGTTCCAGGCGTTAAATGGATATCAACTTTGGATTAACAGATGCCTAACTAAAGTTTGTCGTAAAGTATCTAAATCCGGTCTTCCGTAAGGTGGTGCTACTTCCCTGGATGAGACAGCCCATTCGTGCAACATATATTGCGAATCAATTTAAGTTATTTTGGGCATATTAGTGATAGTACCAGGTGGACCGGTTTTTTTTTTGGTAAATCATGTAATTTGGAAATTAAAAAAATAAAGCAATAGGTCTGGAATCGAAACAAAAGTAAAAAAAATAAGTGTGTAAATGATCGTGACATGAACCACGGCCTTCTGTTGGAAAACAGAGATATAAGGACATTTTCTAAAAATGAAACCTAGCTAGATCGATTTTTCGCCTCCGAATCTACGCACATACTAAATTTTATGAAAATCGCTGGAGCCGTTTTCGAGATTCCGATTATATATATACAAGAATTGCTCGTTTAAAGGATAAGATAATGTATAACTTTATAAGAAGATGTCCTGATAACCTATCACTTAAATCAACACTTGCAGGACTTGCACACACATAAAGTTACATATTCATTCTTCACAGATATTATAAAGTCACCGAAACAAACAAAATGTTATTAATTACAAACAGTAATAATTATGAAAGCTGAGTGGAGCTTTGTTTTGGTACACGCCGAGACTTGAACTTGCGACTACTTTCAATTTCTCAGCCACTACTAGATAATCAAAGATTTTTTTTTACAAAATGCTTATGATGTTCATCAAAGAAAAACTTCAACGGCTCTTTATATCGGGTTCGATTACACGTTGGATAACTTAACTCGATTTGCTTTCGTGACTTGTCCTAATTTGCCTTTTTCATAATCGATTCCAAACTTTGAACGCAAAAGTTTATGTGCCATGACATAATTTTGCCACGACACAAGCCTACATATAAATAGATAACCAAAAAGGAATGTGTTAAGATCCATCCCCAAATGATTAGTCGATATGGATTCAAAGTCAAAGTCAAAGTATATTTATTCAATATAGGCCTAACTTAAGCTCTTATTGAACGTCAACAAAAAATCTACCACCGGTTCACTAAACTAGACCTGCACAGAGAAGAACCGGCAAGAAACTCTGTGGTCTTGTTCTTTTTGTTATATTTTTTTTGGTGCAATTATACACACTTATTTAGGTATAAAATCAGCAGCAGCCAGGGGTCTTGCAAGTGCAGAGCAAGAGTCATTTCCAAACATCCTTGTCCTCAATGTATTCTTGGACATTATAGTAGGCCCTTGCCATTAAGGTAGCTTTTACAAATTGTTTGAAATTGTTTATACTTAGTTGTTTGTGGATGTCACCTATTTTATTATAAAAGTTGATGCATCTTCCAAGAAATTCTTAGCTACTCGACGTTTCGATAGTATGCATTCGATATCATTGCAGATGGATTGTCACAGCGCTGTCTTCACATCAACATGACACTGAAAAGAGGTCTTGGATTGTAAACTTTTGTTTGTTTCTGTTTTAATACGTGTGCTAAAGCTATTTTTGTATCTGAGAATCGTGTTTCATTTTAATTTATCGATTTTAAATCCTGTTTTTAAAATTTTGAGTTTAACTACACTTACTGGTTGTAAAAATAGGTATCGAACGATATTTTCGCTCAAATATTTTTACTAGTTTCTGCGTTGCCCTTATACCGTATACAGAGGGGGCCATTGCCCAGCAGTGGGACACATATAAGCTGTTACTGTACTTTAATTTTATTTTATAATTTTACTAGCTTTAATCGCGGCTTCGCCCGCATGACCAAAGAGAATTAACAATGTATTTTTTATTATACACCAAAATATATAGATGGCTGAATTTTTTGCCTACTTAGTTGACACTTATCATTACCTATATTTTGGACATTTCACACTTCATATTTAAAAAAATATATAGACTATGGGTTATTCTGATATAAAAGCTATATTATTATAAAGTTTCATTGAAATCTCTTCAGTAGTTTTTTGAGTAACAAGCATCCATCGATACATACAAACTTTCGCGTTTATAATATAAGTAAGGATACATGTCTTTTTTTTTGCCAAACGAGCAATGGTTCATTTGGTGTTAAGTGAATACCACCACCCATGGACATGTGCTACACCCGAGGGTTTGTAGATGTGTTGGCAACCTTTTTGGAAATTGGGCTCCGGCTCCCTCACCAGACGAAACGCGAAAGTATTATACGTCCACTTGACGCCGGTCTTCTGTGAGGTTGTGGTACTTACCCGGACGAGCCTGCCCATTCGTGCAACAGCCGAGGCTGCTGCGTAGCTCTACCACCGTTAGTCTTAAGTAAAACTATAAAAGTTTAAGGTGAAAGTATTCCAACAAACAAAAAGTGTTAGCATATACATTTCAAATTTCATACACGTCATGTTAGCCACTGCTGCTTGCAAAAGAACAAGACACACACACAAACATCGGTACTTTAATATCAGTTAGAGTTATCCGATCGATCTGAGAACTGATTTGACTCAAGAAGCCGGTAGCTCGGCCTCTTAAATCTCGATTGCAAATGGCGTCGCTAAACGCGTCTCCAAAGTATTCTATTTGCTTCAATTAGTGTGAGTGTATACTCCTCGTTCAACCAGTCCCTCGTACAAAGCTGTTTAACGCAACTAGTCGATATTCATATATTTCCTTAATGTTTTTGTTAATATCCTTGACTTTATAAAAGCTGTGTAAAAGAACATCACGCAATCGGGCTCGCCTGCCCGATTGCGTGATATTCTTTCTTACATATCAGGTACTTAATACGAGTATATGCTAGAACCGGGTAAGGTAGAGCATGTAATATATGGATAAGTGTGGAGTATAATAACGGTGGTATATATAATGGTAGAGCCGTGATAGCTCAGTGTCCAGGCGCTCGCCTTTAATTCAATATACTCGAGCAACCTGAGTTCGATCCCCGGTGCCGGCACCAATGAAGTTTTTAACTTTAAGTGCTGACTTATCACGTGCTCCGCGGTGAAGGAAAACATCGTGAGGAAACCTGCATATTTTAGAAATAATAAAAAAAAATATATTTCGAAAATATGTGAAGTCCGCCAATCCGCAGTGGGGCCGCGTGGTGGACTATGCCCTGATACCCTCTGTATAGAGGAGGCCTTTGCCCAGCAGTGGGACATATATAGGCTGTTACTTTACTTTTATATAATGGTAGAGTAGAAATATATGGACCTTAGGTATATCGTACCAATCTTGATTTAAGAGCAAAATGACAAGCATAGACGTTGCGTTTTAGAATATGTATGTTACGATAACATTAATAAGATAGGCTCCAAAGCTTAAATGGTCTTTGCTTCTTCCCCTTTGTGATGCAAATGGCATTGGAATATGCAAAGTGACTTCGGTGATACACACTGTCTGTCAGACATTTTACGTATTACCTCAAGTGCAGACACTAGCTCTTATGATTGAAATTTAAATTTGAAAAGCTATATCTCTAGTTTTCTTATATTCATTGTAAAAATGCAATTTGAAAGAGTATGACTGCTGTAAAGGAATCTCATTATATCACGACAAGCATTGCAACAAAAGCTATAAAACTTAACTGTGGTTGGGCCACAATAACAGTCTTTGCTGATGCACGGAAGGGCAGGCTCGTGTACCAGGCCACGATCCAACTGCTACAAGGTAAACTGTTTCCAGAAATACCACCCACCACCCTACCGCCTTCAGACGTCTCTACCACGTTTGGAGGTGACAGGGCCAAGCCACTGTTGCACGAATGGCCAGATCCACCCGGGGAAGTATCACGACCTCATAGGAGACCGGCGTGAAGTGGAAGAGTTATACTTCTGCATTCATATTACATGGCGACAGTCAAGGGCGGATCCAGCTTTGGTGCCAGGGGGGGGGGGGGGGGGGTGTCACGTAGTCGTTGTCAAGTGATAAGAAGTTATAATTTAATTTTTATAATCATACATACAAGTAAAAAGTAGGTACTTATTTTTAACCGACTTCAAAAAGAAGGAGGTTATTAATTCGGATGTTTACATTTTTTTTATGTAGGTATATTTTTAGGTAGGGATTTGCAAAATTCTTTTTTGTTCGTAACATTTCGTTGCTTTTTATTATCATATATTATACAGGATGGCTTTTCAAAAGGTGCCCAAATTCACACAGGAGGTTCAGACTCGGTAGTATAATCGTTTATTGAAATAACAACAAATATTTTTTTTAAATTTGGCATTCTATTCCCTAAAAACAACAAAAAACTTGTTGACAATGCGGTAGCCATTCATAAATGCGTCATCATACTTTTGAAACGAACTTGTGAGCGTGTTAGTTATGAATAATCGCGAGTAAAATAAATGAGTTGCCCATAAATCAAGCACTTTCTGAGATAAGTCCAAATGAATGTAATAAATTAATTACGAGTGATTTTAAATATTTATCATTTTTTATATAACTTTATTTATGTTTAGAATTTAGTAAAAAAAATGGATACACTTAGAAAAGCCACCGTGTATAGTATTTTTTTAAGTAGCTATTGGTAGGCTTACTTATTTTTGGAATTTGTTTATTTATTTCTTCGTTACCAGATTTTATGTAGTCGTATTGGTTATAATATTCTCTATTCCTCCACTCCGCACGCTGGCTCCACTTCAATGACACGTAGCCTAAGACGGGACTATCGGGACACGGGTTAATAATAACATATGATCAACCCAAATGAAAACTCCTAAAATAGCCGTACACAAAAAAAAATTACATCGTCCACATTAAAAAAGTGTTCATAAATAAGAAAAAAATATTTATTCAGTCATTCATTCATAATATTCAGCGCTTCTAGTCCATCTTATCAAAGAGAGAATCCACATTAATAACAAACGGAATGAACAAACTTTATTTTCGAAAGATGGTCTCGCACACTCACGTCCACTAAACCCACATCTCACCTCCCATCAAAAACGGCCCACCCATTAAGACGAATCAAACTCGACGCAGTTGTGTTCCTTAATTACTGAGTTCCTATGGCCACATTCCAGCTCTGTCATGAAATCCTGGTTACCATCTAGCACCAAAGTACTCGTCATGACGAATCAAACAACCCGAGACGCAATAGGGTTGCATCGTTTCTTTACTGAGTTCATATGACTATCTTCCAGCTCCATCATCAGATCAGACCCTGGTAACCATCTAAAAATTAAGTACTCGCCAAGACGAATCAAACAAGCCGAAACTCGATGGGGTTGAGTCATTTCATTACAGAGTAGTCATAGGAACCTCACAGGATAGCCTCATAGACCTCACAGAAGATCTGCGTAAAGTACTTCTGCGATTTGTCTGGTGAGTATCTCACTCACGAGATGCGTTTTCTCGTTATAATAAAGTGGACTCGGGCTACCTAGCCAAACCACCACTTTATAATAAGGAGAATACGCATCTGCAACCCTTTGCATATGTCCATGGACGGCTGAAGATGGAGCTCCATCATTAGATCCTCGTTAGCAATGAAAGAGAAACTACTCGTCAATACGATTCAAATGTACCCAAACGCGAGGCTCTGTTGTTTCATTTCGAAGTTCCTTTGGCCTTCTGCCAGTTCCATCATCAGATCAGTACTATGTCATAAAATATTGCATTGTCTCGCGATTTACATGTAAACGGAAAGTAAATTATATTTAATTTGCAAGATTTAATTTGATGATTTATCATTAAAATATTGTAAAAATGTTCATAAAATGAAAACATGTAAATTTGAACAATGTAAATTTTTATGGAACCAAATGGCAACTATTCTGCATCAAACTAAAGAAGAATCACGTAAATCGGATCATAAATCTCAACGTAATCGGTGTACATACATCGAAAAAAAAATATACCAATCGAATTGAGAAACTCCTCCTTTTGAAGTCGGTTAAAAATATTATATTAATGTAATTAAAGCAGTACTTACATAAGATCTATATTGTGGCAAAAAATATATAAAAACATTATGTTTAACAATTTTAATTAGTGGTCCACCTAGGTCCTGGGCCCAGCCCAGGGGGGGGTCATGACCCCCATGACCCCTCCCCTGGATCCGCCCTTGGCGACAGTGCCGCGTTGGTTCCGCGATAAAACTTTGCATAGGTAAGAGCTTTTTCATCAATTATTCTCAATATATTTAATGCTGATAAGGCTACACGTATTGCACCTTGTATATACACTCACGCTTGTTTGAAAGAGAAAATAGGGTCATTCAATTAACTACATTGGCAAGATGTTGCTAATTTGAGTTTAATGCAGAGGCGACTCGAATCAGATAGGAAATAATAGCTGATGATTTCAACTTGTTTATCATGTTTAAACATTTTTCTTGAACATTCGTATCGACCCCAACTATACAGTTGGGGTCGTTACGAGCTTCAGTGTGAATTCTTCTAACTCTTATATTATTTCAACAACATTTGTTGGCCGTATATATGTACCAGCTGCTCTGCCAATATATTATACAAAAGAAATAATTGATAGTTTGTGCCGTTCTCCATGACTGAGTTTTATATAAATAAGAGAGCAGCAAAATTATTTAAGCACAGATTTTACATTAAGCTAACATTGTTCAGCGTCATGCCCCGACGATTCTAAAACGTATTAGAATTACAAAAAGATCGTTTAGGAAAGCGCGCCAATTTACTCGTCTGTTGACTGGAACGGAGTAAACTTGCAATTATAATCAAAAAGGGGGGGGGGAAATTTTGGTGGCACAAGTGGGTTACAGTCTGCTGCGCTTCCTATCAGTTTATGGGGTCCATGAGTTTGGTTTTGGAAGGGTTCTAGATAAAATACAGATAATTTGTGCTTTAAAAATATTTCGCCAACTATAGGGTTATTCATGCACACAGCACCAGAATAATCCACAGATTAATAGGTCATATAAATAATTTTATTGAACCGACGATTCACGATTAATAAATAAATGATTTATAATAGTGACCGATTATAATTATGTATGAGTAGTGACAATGCAGTTCCCTAATCAAGTGTTAAGAGGAAGTTTTAATAGGTTTTACAACGAGACAACAGACAACTAGACGCTCAACGGGCGTCCAATTTACTTCGTTATTTTTTATAACACTAATGGCAATTAGTGTGACCATTTAAGTTTCCTAATGAACAAAATTCCAATATAATGAACATTTTATTTTCACTAACTACAGATTCGCAACGTGTTTGGTAGATTTTCGGTTAAATAACGCCTGGCGCTTTAAGTAACAGATTTGTCTCATTTTTTATTCGTAGGCGTTTCGGTACGATCTCCTTTCTTGAGAAGTATCCCACTTATTGCTTGTTTCGTTGACCCTTTCGACAGAGAGCTGGATAAGGACATAGGGCCTTGGCCCTGAACGAAACGTATGTATATCACTACAATGGGCTAGAGAGGGACAAACGATAGAGCCATATCGCGAGACAGGAATGTATTTTATGTCGTCAGAGATTTTACGAGGGCGTGAACAGACTTTTGTTGTATCCATTTTGTTGTGTTAAGTGTGTTTTCTTTTTGACGTTTCCTTACGGAACGGTGATTTCATATCCTTAAGAGACCACTACTAACATTATAATATTCAGATTACGTAAACGGTGATTGGGATGCCGCATCGATTGGGATGCCGCATCTTTCGAAACATCGGGAATTTTAGTTGCAAAAATAAAGACGACAGTTTAAGAAAATTTACTCAATGAAAATAATATCCAATTATCGGTTTACAGTTAAATCCCCCGAAATAGTCATGCTGTAAATCAATATGACGTATTTCGGCCTGCTTTTAAAAGTTCAAACTTTTGCGCAGACCGAACTTTCACCGCTGTCAGTTGAGCAACACAACAATGGCACAATAGCAAATGAATCTTCGAAACGTGTTTCGAAGCGTTCGTTAAATCGCGTGCCTGTTGCATATATCACGTACGAACAAATATCGATTGAATACTTTTCTGTCGGTGGGCGTTTCGATCTGAAACTCTTCTCTATTCTTCACTTAATTGCTCGCCGATAAACGTTTTACCGATGGTCATTTTCATTACGGCATTAAAAGTTTTATCCTCGTCCTTTAATTAATTAGCTTTGACTTCATTTTCGTTTTTAGTGTTAGTGCTGTTAGAACGAAATTAAAAAAAAATTAAATGTGTAGATCAATTTATCGAAAAACTTTTTATCCTCCGCCTTCAGGGTGTGTAGCCGGGCAGGCTTGAATCCAGGAAAACGACACGCTGTATAAAAAGGTATATTCTAAATGTGTAGATGATATCGCTAATAAAACATTGGACATATGAATGCAGGGGAAAGCAAAGTTACGTTTGATTAATCAATACAAATGACAAATTACACTAAACGATACTAAAGGAATATATAACATATTCCTCAGGCTACACAATTACAGTAATACCGAAGTTGGAATTTAATCTCACCCAAAGTAGTCTGCGTGTTTACAACATTGTTCTCATAATGCCGTTCATTAAGCCACTTCAACGAGGAATGCCACTATCTCTTCAAAACAACAATCGTCGATAACGAAAAGATATCCAGAGACATTGTTATGAGGATCTACGGGCGTCTGTTGTTTAAAACATGCGGACTGATTTGTTTGGTGTTAACAAACAATGCACAAACAAAATCTGGTGCGTCATATTGTGCCACGCGCTGATCTATTTTATATGCAAATTAGCTGTTGTTTCATGTGATGGTAGATGATAACTGCCGCCACAGAACATCACCGATATGTTGGACGACCCGATTGGCGTAGTGGGTAATGAACCACACAATATTTTTCCATTATTGGGTTCGATTCCCACTACTGGAAATATATTGTGCGATGAACATAGTGTTTTTCCAGTGTCTGGGTGTTCATCTATTTATAATAATTATTTTTTTACAAAATAAAAGTATGTTTGAGTACGTTTATCAGTTATCTAGTGCCCATAGTAACAGCGTTGCTTAGTTTGGGACTAGAAAACGTTGTGTAAAAATGTTTCTTGCAATATTAAATAAAAAAAATATCAGACACATGTGCTCGCTACAAACCTTTCATGGCAGAGACACGTTTCGATGCATAGTAACTTCCACTTTACGCCCACATTGGCACTTCGTCGATACCCTCTATGCAACAGAATATAAATACACACACACCCATAAGCTGGATCGACAATAAGCATTTATGTGATAATAAATTTGTATACTTCTCGCTTCGACACTATATATCTTGAACACGGCACCAAATAAATTGTAAACTTTTAAGTGCCTACATATCACGTGATCAGCGGTGAAGGAAAACCTGCCAATTTTCGTAATAATAAGTGAAAAAAATCGCAGATATAATAATTTCTTGTATTTACGCGATTACACATTAATAAATGTTTAACGGTATGTTTAACGGATTTATTGTTTGTGGACTATCCCCTTATAACCTCAGCACAGAGGCAGGTACTGAGGCCTTTGCTCTGCGGTGGTATACAGGATGATTTTTTAGATGAAGTACATACTTTGAAATAATTGAGCAAGAAAGTAAATAAATGTTAACTGGGCATTCCATAATTAAAAAAAATATTAATATTTTATTTTGACAATATAAAATAACTACAAAAATGTCAATTCTAACATTGTTTGTTTATCCCGTTAAGAATGGTCACCCTATTGATAAACGGTTTAGTAATTATGCGTTCAGCGAAAAGTTTTAGTGCTCGTCAATAGGTTTATTGTATTGAGAAGGTAAGAGAGGAATTTCTTAAGGTGTCCATAATGTTTGAAAAAAATTAAAATTATTCTTTGAAAAAAGAATGAGGTCACAAGTATCAGATTCAGATTTACAATCACGCATATGCTCTGTAAATATGTCCGTCCTCTATAAAATCAACCTTTATATACAGGCTGTTTCTTAATTTTTTTATATTTTTATGACGATCATGTCAACTTTCTGGCATCCAAACAAAAGGAAACAATTATTTTCATATGTCGAGTATTGCAAAAAGGCTTTCGTTAATTGGGCCAATGATTATCTTTCCTTATCAAATCGAACGTGACATGCACCCATATCTGTAATACGTGTACAACAAACCAGTGTCTGTATCAAGATATCGATTTGATGTATTAAGTATAATAATTATATTTATGGGCGTGCAAAACATCCCTTATCAGCGGTTCATCTGATTTTAAGGGATATCCGCTGCCAATTTGCTACACCCTTAAGTGTGCAGATGCGTTACCAGCATATAAAAGAGTGAGCCTCGGCTACCTCACTCATCAGACGATGCGAAGAATTATAACTCTTCCACTTCAGGCCGGTCCGGTTGTAGAGTCTCGGATGGACCTGAGAATGCGTGCAAGGGTGAAGACTGTTGCGTGGCGCTACCACTGTTACCAGATACACCCTCCTAAATCTAACACAAGTTCAATTTGTATAAATAATTCGTCGAATCCATTTTAAAAGTTCATGTATGTATACAGTTGAGGGTTTTTATTTGTGTAAGTAAACAAAGAATTATTTGGATTAAGTTTTACAGATTTATCCGAATTGGAGATAATTTGGTTATAGCTAATTGTACTCAGCTATGAGACGCTATAATGATAAGGTATTCTTATCAGATTCCTACGCTTACGACGGAAATACTATTAAACAAAAGATAGAAGGAGGCATTTTAAGAATTAATTATTATATGATATTTATACCACAACATGCTTGTTCCGTCTTAAATATAATTATGAAGATTTATTTTACTTTTTTCAATTTAGTAACAGTACATACTCCTTTTACGTTTTATTTCATTTTAAAATGAAATAAAATTTAAATCATTTACCGATATTTTGACTTGGATATTTTACTAACGTTATTACTAAATTATGTTAACGTAAAAGGATACGAAATCAAAAGCCTGGCGATTCTGAAAGGAATTCAACAAATGCACTTCGTCCAAGGACCCTCATTAAGTCACAATTTCTCGTTCTTTAAATATACTATCAAAAAAACGGATAATAAATGCCAATCTCAAGTGTTACCAAACAAAAACACATTAGTGTTATAATTTTCCCGTTCCCCAATTGGGTTCCTGTGTCGCTCGAAGGCTGCGATATGGAAGGATTCGGTCTTGAGTTGAGGAGCTGGCTCGGTTAACTCAAGGAGCCGGTTGTTTGTCTGGCGAGGAGGCGCATGCGGGGACAAGGGTGGCGGCGCCCACGAGCCTTGTCGCCGGCCAGTATCGAGCGAGACGCCACGCGGTGAGGTCATGCCGCCATGTCCGACGACGCGCCGCCACCGAGCGGCCTACGGAGCCGCGTTTCGTTCTTCGAACGGGTCTGGAGGGGTAGAGGCAGCGGCGACAATGTCGACGCCGCGGCCGACGTGGAAGAGATCGAGCGCAGAATAGAGGAGCGCAGAAGGACCGGCTCGCCGAGGGTCGACGCTCGGGACCAATCGCCAGGCGGGAGCCAGGAGTTCCAGAGCGTGAAGCTGAGGCACGTGGGGGCAGAGCGCGAGAGGCAGGTCGAAGAGGGCGACCTAGCCGCCGGCGTGCGCTGCGTACGCTTCGAAAGGGTCACGCTCAAGCGGACGGTGGAGACCCGCGACGAGCGCCCCGACTCGCCCCAGCACGAGTGGTACACGGAGTACAAACAGCACGCCCTGCAGACCGCCCCGAAGAAGGACTACTTGCGCAGCAAGTCGGAGTACGACACGCACATCGCCGAAATAAGAGGTACGTCCGATTTCCCGAATGGATCGCGACGACGCAGTTCGGCGAATGTTCTCGTATTGACCGAATTGGTAGGCGAAAACGCTAATGTGTTTAATAAGAACAGTCGACATGGTTAAACATACGTAAATTGGCTAGATAGAGTAAACAAACGACCATGAAAGTATTTCTTGACTATAGAGTAATCATTTACGATGTTGAGAGTAAAACTTCACATATTCCTCGTATGAATCTAATTGATCACAAAATTGCAGCATTAAAGAAAAAACTCAAACAGTAAAATTGACAATTACAATCCACTATACAAGGAAATAATTACAATTTCCTTTTCCTCCGTGTCCTGGTTGATACCACAATATTAAAGAAAGAAGTCTATAAGTCTAGTCAATCTCAACCACAAGGTTGGTTGAGATTGACAAGACTTATAGACGTATGTATCCTACATATAAATATTTCCTTTAAACAGCTTTTTTTGGGTATAATTAATCGTAAATTTATGTGCGATTTAAAACCGTCGCGAAGCTGAGGCTGATGATAAATAATAATTAAGGCCCGAACGCAATTATTTATATATTAGGTTGATAATGATAAGATAAAGACTCCAATAAAAAGAGATTTAATAATGTACAGAAATATCCTAATAATTATTATATTTATTTATTGATGTTTTCGATCGATTACAATAGATTAAACATCGCGCCTAAAAAATTACATAAAAGTTATAAGAATGTTAAGGTCGAAGGAAAATTTTCGGAATGTCTACCATTCTGGCTGAGAGGTCTGAGGGTTTTGGAATTTATTTGAGTTTCTTGTAGTGTCTAGTCGATTTGTTAGCTAACTTGAATTTAAGAAAAAATGTGTTAACATTTAATTTCAAAGGTTTAGCGGAAATAATGTGAAACAGTTCACAGTCTAATTAGATTTTAACTTATCCATGAATTTCAGGCCGCTGGTGTTGCCATAACGAACTGTAAATATATAATAATAAATTTGCCGAGGCGAAAAACATTTGAGAAAAGTGCTGCAACAAGGCTAAACTCTCCAAATTTAGAGTTATCGATAGCTTTTCTTTACTTCACTCATTAATGGAATTATGATGGAGTTATAAGTATTAGTATTGTGAATATTGTTATCCTTATACTATGAAAAGATGTCAGTAATAATGTTGGTCACTGCTATGCGATAGTCACGCTATTACAAACACAAAACTCGCCACGATTCCGACGACCGTTTGAACTGTGGTCTAAAGTTGGCATATGACGTAAAAGGAGCTAAAATGTCTTCGAGCTTGAGCCATTAGGCGTCACTTAAGTCAGACAACGCTTAGAACTTAAATCGAGTACAATTTTCGTTACCTGAACTAAACAACTGATGATACATTGGTGGTTAACGCAGTATTTAGTGAAAACCTATTGACTCTTGTCTAACTAGCTTGAGTACTTAAGCTCGTAATATGGGCCTTTTTAGTAAAGAAAGAAAGAAAGAAATCTCTTCGCCCCAATACTACGGCTTTATAATGATGCCTCGAAGACAACACCATACAATGTTCAAGATTTTAGGATTTATCTGAACTAGTATTCTTATGCTACTTCCACTGAAACGATTAAACAGTATTACTTAAAACAACGTGGTATAATATTCCGGCGCTAACCAGTTCTTGCACGGCCCTACTTAAGGCCCATTTACACGATGCCATTTTCTTGAACATACAAGAGCAATAATTGAATGCAATAAATTGCGCGCAATAATTGTTTAGACCATTTGTTGTTTAGACCATGCAACTCATTTATTGCTTCAATTTAATTGTATACAACAGGCAAGAAACTGGCACCATGTAAATGGGCCTTTATGCAGAGGGTTGTATCAGTCTGATGGGTTCTGGCTAGCCCACAAGTTTGGCGTTCCATGAAGCCTTAATTCGGACTTAAAGCAAAATCATCATAAAATACAAGAAATTATTATGCAAAATCATCACTTAAAGTATAGTAAAGAAAATTAAAGTACCGGTTCGTCATAAATAATTCATTTAAAAATGATATAATGATATCTATGGTACATGTATGTATGTGTAATGTAGGATACCATACTATGAACTTATTTATTATTCCGTTGGTTTTTAGTATGTATGCAATATTTTTAATAGGGTGTAAAAATTTTTACTTACATACGCGTACATATATATAGTTACTTACGTGTATATCTAACAAATGCGTGCAAAATATCTGTTTTAAGTTAAAAAAAAAAAAACGTTGATGCGAAATAAATGTTTACCAACAAAACTCGGCGTCCGTTTCTGTAGTCCGCCACGCTTCATAAAAGGCGTGTTTAATGTCAAACAGCGCTGACCTTGGCCACCAATTCAGGTTGTTATATTACACAATAACTCATGCGGCGGCGAGGCTTACGCGTTTTGATATTTGATAGAATTACGACATCCCCCGCGCTCGAATATTGCATTGCAACTATTTATTGACCTTTGTGTCCCTTTTTTCTAGCACTCACTACATAAGTGTCGTGTGGTGACCAGACTAGACTACCACTACGTCGTGTAGTGGTAGTCTAGCTACCATCCTACATTATGGTGTGGTAATTAAAGCCTTGGTAGTAACCGAAATAGTACAGTGAAAGTCTATTCATTGTTATGGCTATTTTTGTCTATTCAGTCTTTCTATAGACATGCTGTATTCTCCCTTTCTATAGACATGCTGTATTGTCCCTGATTATTCAGTAAAAATTTTTATGGAACGGTTTTTAATACTAAGTAAACCTTTAAAGTAAGATTTTTCTTACTTATATACTGAATGTGCTGCGGTCGTGGTTGTGTCCTGATTCACGACAAGGTGGCCTCTTAAAACATTCAAATTACTTTTTTTTATAAAGAATAATTTTCTTTTAATCTATTCTTTCTTTCCTTATTTTATTATCTGCAAAACATTTCAATGGCATATTTAAATAAGAATCTTTAGAGAACAAGATTAAAATGTCATTATCTAATTTCATTAAGTCTAAAAAAAAAAAAAAAAAAAAGTCTACTTTTATTAAAAATAATTATATAAAACAGCGTAATACAATATAAACACTGGTACTTTGATAAAGGGTTTTCTTATATTCTTTCGCTTAATAATAACACAGACCTTTCTAAAATTCACGCAACATATTGACGAAAACATTCGTGAGCCAAATTTTTATGTTCGAAAAGGTCAAAACAACCATTGCTTAAGTGTTGTGTGTTGCGTTTAAGAAAAAATGTCACGATTTTACAAATCATTGCCGTTCAATTCAATGGTATTCCGAAAATATCCGATCGCCCGTAGTGCGGCGTCAAACATTGTTGGCGGGAAAATCGTCCTCATTGACTATTCATTCCGTTCGCGCGGGAAATCGTTGCGATTCCTTGACGGGGCGTCGTGCTGAGATGACTAGTCTGCATTGTATTGCTGTTATCAAATGTTTTCGATGGTTAAATTGTAGAAGGGCTGTGTTTTTTCATTGTTTTTTTCTGCTCTCTATATCCAAGACTATTAGGCTTGGTTGGACAAAGAGTGAACGGTAAAACTTTAATTTCCACGTATCTCCCCGAGACAGTACAGTGGGTTGTTTTATGACGGAGCTATAAGGGATAAAAGTTCGGAACGCGAACTTAGTCGGTATAAACGATTTTCGTTTTCCAAATATCTGTTAAAATATAACGTTTTCGTAAGAGTGACGTTTACTATGAAGAGACTTGACATCTGTCACTTTAGGGGACAGTTGCTATTTTGGGTGTGTGATCTTTTGAATGATCTACACTTGTCATGTCCTGGTGACAAATTTCCATCTCTATTTCGTCTTCCACGTCTGGGCGTCCACGGTAATACTACGTATTTAATATATATCTGGTGCAATAAGGTAGAACGATAGTCGTCTTGCGCTACTGAATAATAATATTTCACAGAATTCCTTTAAGAGAAGCCATTTATTAAAGAAAGAAAAAAAAAATATTTCATACTTTGCGACATGCTGCGTGGAATTTTATTCATTCTTGTGGTTGTATCTACAAGTTGATATAGTGAATAACATTTGATATAAATGTATGGAAAACGAAACAGAGCGACTTTATACGAACCAGCTTGTGCGATACCCTCCATATACGTTACCGATTAAACAGATTATAAAAGTAATCTATAATCTATGATAACGTGTGTGTTTTTAAGCGCCGAGAGTGAAATTTAATCGCCGATAATCATGATGCCCTTGAATTAAATCTGAGCATTATCGCATAGTTCAGTGGAGTGTAACCGTTTACTGAACAACAGTGTCGTACTGAATCCTTAGTTAGTATTGGCGATTTGAGCTAGATTTTTTTCCTCAGACGCAGTTGCCAGTGCTTCGCTACTAAGCCAAGTGCCACAAGTTATGGCTAAAATGTCACAAAAGTTCTTGTCCTGTTTGAATTTATGTCATTTACTAATTTATTTTTAATTTGCACAACTAGAACTAAAAAAAATCGAGCTAGCGCGCTCACGGCTGCATTGCCACTTATGGGGGGGTGGCAGTGAAAAAGAATAGATTCCAGGCTTTTTATTCAATCTAACAGTAACCTGAGTTCAAAACCTAATTAACTAATGGTTATTAGTGAAATCGTCCTTACAAGATTAACTTGCATAATAACCCACATATTATATGCATCATCCTCCGAGTTTTCGTAATCTGTGTATTTTTGATAAATTCAGTTGGTTCAACAAGAACCATAAAAATTTATTGCATAGTTTCCTAGCCGTATATATAGATAACGTATTTTCGCCAAATATTTCGCTATCACATTGATAATAAAGATCAAAGTGTCTTGCTTCTCATTCGCACTGTTTTATCTTATCTAGTTTGTTTACCTTCGCGATTGGCAGCTATAATTAAAAATATTAAAACAGTTTTTACAGTATAAAGATTTAAGGTTGGAATATCACTTATCAATTTTAAATCAAATAATTTACTAATTTAAACGTAAAAGTAGCTTACGAAGCTCGGTTATAAGTGGATTTATAATGAAGAAAAACATGTCTGTCTACCCTGGAAATGTTTAATGGTGGTCGTTGAAACGTAGAACTGTTTCAAATGCAATGATTTCAAATACGTGATT